TGCGACGAGACTTTATTACCGGGCATGTATGCCCAGAAACCCTATTCCAATTATTAAGGCCCCTACATTACAGTACCTACAGTCTCCGTTGCAGTTCCTTTTCTGGGTTACCTTATAGGATCCTGAATATAAAATTGGTTCAACCAAGGAAAGGACTTTTCACCGAATGCGGCAAACCGTTACCCCTTGATCCTGAGAAAGCTTATTCCCCAAAACCCGAGAGCCCGACCCGTACAGTGCATCAGCGTATAAACAACTTTTGCGCATCCCTAAGGGTTCGTGTGCCCAAATCCTATATACTTGAGGCCAAAGTAGGTACTATTTGGGCACATGGACCCTTAGGGCATGCGTTGAATTTGCAGGTTGTGTCTGGGAGGGCTACAGTGCAGGCATTTTATTTTCTGCTGCAAAGCCGGCAACCGCAGACAAGCAGGAACAGACGGGTCAGGGTCTAGCAAAAAGGCTTAAACCCCATAAATCCTTGAACTCAAACGAACAATCCAAGGAATCCTTATGCGAGCCGTCACAGGGACCCTGACAACTGAACCCTACGACACCAGGCAGAGCTGGACCTCGGTCACGACGAGGTCCTCAAGCAGCTCTTCCAGAAGCTCTTCGACGACACCAAGGTGACGACATTTGAAGTGCATGGGGTTTGGGGTTCCTTCAACGATTCCCCACGCCCTTCCACAAGGGTTCTGTTAGGCTTCTGGAGGGGCCACAGCCGCAGTGTGTTCAAGGATTTTAAGATTTGGGTTCAAGGTTTGAGAGTCTTTGGTTTCGGGTTTGGGATTTCAAAAGCTTTAGTTATGTGTGCATGTGTATATGTATAAGAGTACTTATGCATGTATGAGTGTAAGGAGGTATGGTTGCATGAGATATGTATGTATGTATGTATGTATGTATGTATGTATGTTTGTATGTATGTATGTATGTACGTAGAAATGTATGTATGTAGGTAGGTATGTATGTATGTATGTATGCATGCGTGTGTATGTATCACAGTGCTTGTTCATATCTGTACTCAGTAGGGGAGATGGGCCCCTTCAAGAAAGGACCTCAGTAGCTTAAGGGCCATTCGTCCGGCTGTGGCTCCCTGGGAGTCTGTGGACGCCAGAACACGCCCCCAAACATGTAAGCCAACGAAGCGATGCAGTTCACGGAATGAGTCATTGACCTTCATGAACGGACATAACAAATAATGAAAGAAGGTGTGTATGCATGTACGTCTGTAAATATGTAAATATGTACGTATGTATATATATATATGCATATGCATATGTGTGTGTAAGTGTGTGCACACATTTGTGCATGTAGCTGCAGTTGCACATGTATATGTACTCCTACATATGCATGTGTATCGACATGGACTGGAGATGGAGATGGACATGTATACATATATGTACATGTACAGCCTCGTAGCGTTTATACTAGTGTTCTCAGACTTGCAGCTTCCATGCAGAACTTTTACATACACACCTCTCTGTATGTTCCTCCGGGAGCGCCGCGGTCAAAATCCTGTATACCTCACGGTGCTCTAAACCCTAAACCCTACTCCCTAAAACCTAAACCATAATCCCTAAACCCCAAAACCCTAAACCCTAATCCCTAAACCCTCAACCCTAAACCTTAAACCTTAAAACCCCCGTGGTTCCTCAACCTTTTCGGCCCGGTCGTTCTCCCACAAACTTGCATCCTAAACGCACGTCCCAGCTCTTAAACGTGAGGATTCTGCAAGTTGGGCACCGGCGGGTTCCTTGAAGGGTTTAGGGTTTAGGGTTCAGGTGTCTTAATTTGAATCTTTTTTTGGTGTGGGGTTTCGGGTTTAGGGGTGTCTTTAGGGTTTCACAGGGCTTTTGGTTTAGGGCTCAGGGTCTTAATTTGAAACTCCGTGAGCCGAAGCATAGAGCTCAACAAAAAATCAGCCTGTCGAACCCGGAGTGTGAAGGACCTAATGTAGGGGCCTTAATGCCTACCTATACTTTTTTTTGGGGGTTCCGGATGATAATTATATAGTATACTATGCCCCAAAGCCCTATTCTAGTTTGTTAAGGCCCCATTCATTAGTCTCAGATACTTCCCTGAGTGCCCTACAGCTAACCATGCTATCATAAAGCCAAACCTGAGTAGGTGGTACCCTGCCTCCTAAGGGTCTTAAGCCTTAAACCCTGGACCCGAAACCCCAAAACCCCAGAACCCCAAAACCCTAACCCCTGAAATCCCAAAACCCCAAAAAACCCAAAACCCCAAAACCGTAACCCCTGAAACCTAAAGCTGACTTTCTCGCGAGAGGAAAAGGTCCGGTTACACAAAACAAAAACCCTAAATCCTAAGCCTTCAAGACTTGGGTTTCGGGCCTAGGGACCCGAAATTGAACGGAGGCCAGCATCGTCACCCGAGATAGGGCTGCCAGAGGGGCCGGTGGTGTGCGGAATCTCAGACAGCTTGTGGGGTTTGATTATAAGGTTTACCTAGAGTTTCCATTGTAGTTCCTTTTTGGGGATACCTTATAAAATCCTTAATAGAAAATTGGTTAAACCAAAAAAAGGAATTGCAATGGAGACCATAGGTAGGACCGAGGGGATATACTCGTACGGTTCAGGGTTCGGGGTTTAGGGCTTATGGAGGGTTCTCTAGACAGACTCATTTGCAAGGCGCCCAAAGGAGTCTACGCCAGTCTTAGCAGACCGTCCTCCGAGGGACCTTCCTGAGCAGCCCTGCTTCGCATTAGCCTAGCATCACCCTCTGGCGAATCCAAAGGGCCCTAGGTACCTATATAAGTTCCTTTATGGGTTTAGGGCTTTTATTTATCAAGGGTTCCTAAGTACCTATAAGTACAATGTAGGCTTTTTATTTTAGGAATGATTTCTATATTTGTGACAGTATCCCACATGACAGTGCCTGGGACCCTTTCTGGGAAGTCTTTGCTCTGATTCTACACCTCCGTCTCTTCTTAGCCCGGGTTTAGGGTTTAGGGTTTAGGGTTTAGGTCACTGCCTGGGGCGAAAGCATAAACGCAGGCAGCCAAGTCGACAAGCTCAGGGCGCGTCCCCTTCGCATCGGGAAGTAGACTTAGGACTTTTGTGCTTCAGGCGCTCAAGCTTGGCATTCAGGACCGAGCTTGCAGAATTCAGAATGACCTTTTAAGAGCGATTTGGACTACTGAACCCTAAACTTAAACCCCTAAACCCTAAACCCCTAAACCCTAAAACCCTAAAGCCCTAAACCCTAAGCCCCTAAACCCTTAACCCTAAACCGTTGAGTCAAGACCCTCAACCCTAAACTCTAAACCCCCAAAAAAGGGGGACAGAGAGCACATCGCTGAGATGCCTCGCGGCTACCGGGTGCAGAAAGTCATATCAGCCTGGACCCCAGTTGGTTTCTCTAGGCCTGAAAATATTTCTTATTACCTATACTATTTTGGGGATTCCTTATTATAATTTTTTTATAGGAAACTCTACCTGCTTTTTCTAGGCCTGAATATAGGGGCCTTAATTATTACCTATACTATTTGGGGGATCCCTTATTAGAATTATAGTATACTAGACCCCCAAACCTTATTCTAATGATTACGGCCCCTACATTATGCCCTAATCCTAAGCCCGAAACCCCGCATTACCCGAAGGTACCCCAGGCCGCAAACCCTATATCTCGAGACTCTAGGCCCCCAAACCCCTCCCAGATGGAGACATTTAGGGTTTAGGGTTTAGGGTTTAGGGTCTAGGGTTTAGGGATCCGCACTTGGAGACTTGGAGACTTGCAGTACACGATTGCAGCACTTGCTGACCCCACTAGATCCATATCATATTTTTGCCCTGAACCCCCCAAAATCCCCGAAGCCCCAAACCCCACAGCCCCAAACCCCTAACCCCTGCTAAATACCGAATGCAGACAGCAAATAGTGGGATCCTTATCATACGGACACTAGGCCCTAATTTTAAGGACCCGATTGCCCTCATCTCCTTCGCGCTTAAATCCAATACTATAGAAGTTCCAATGTTATTCCTTAGGCCCCCTTATCATAAAATATTACGGAGCCCAAACCCTAAACCCTAAACCCTAAACCCCTAAACCCTAAACCCAAAACCCTAAACCCTGCTCTGATGATTAAGGCCCCTACATTAGCCCTGAAGCCAAGCACCTGCACCCTGAGACCGTGAACCTCAGCCCCATCGCGAGGAGGAAGTTCAACTTTCCGAATGCAAAGTTTAGGGTTTAGGGTTTGGGGTTTAGGGTTTAGGGTTTAGGTTTTAGGGACCTATTTTTAGAATGCCGAACATTTGAGTCCTTCTTGTAACAAGGACCCTGCAAGTTTAGAGAAGAAGTTCGCAAACTCTAAACCCACACTCGAAGCCCTAAAGCCAACAAGTCCGCGTCTGAGGTAATGAATGCCGAGTCTTGGAAGTCTTACATGGAGCGGCTAGACAACATTGCCCAAGCCTGTCGGCACCATGGTCGCAAAAGCAAAGCCTGGTCGGCAGATGTGTCGTTGGGATACAAAAAACGGGGCCGAAACAATTACGAGTACTGTTTCTTGGGGGGTTCCTTATTATGATTAGAGTAGGAGATACCCCAAAAGCCCTATATTCTATAAGTTATTCAGGGCCCTATGTTAGGGCTTGCGGTTCGGGTTTCTGGTTCGGGGTTCAGGGCCAGGATTCTGCAGGGTTTAGAACCCTAACTACCCTAGGTGTGAACCCTATCAAACCTTCCTTCTTGGGGTTCCTTATTCTGATTTCTTTTTATAAGTCCTTAAAACGGTAGGTTCTTTTGGGTCCAGGTAGCTGTGAACCCGAAATCTTAGCGGTCTATCCTCGAAGCTTGGGATGCATTCTCTCGGGTTCTGATACAGCTATGCCAGCCATGCCTCACAAAATCTACATCCTTAAGGGTGTTTACAAGGAAACCATATCGAGGAAGAACCCCTAAACAGTTAGGTTAGTTGGGGTTCAGGTAATGAGTACTGTAGGTCGTGAGCCTCACGTGGTTACGAGCGGAAAATCCGCTCAGCATCTCTGAGTTTGCTGTTGGCTTTGTTTTGGGTTTATCGTTTAGGGTTTAGGGTTTAGGGTTTAGGGTTTAGGCTAGGGAGACCTTATGTTCGTGCCTGTGAAAGCTAAGTTTGATAATCAGACTTCATTCCAGCCAACAAAATGGGTCGCTGTGCTTTCCAAGATCGCCTCCTTCAGTAGTAGTAGTAGTAGTAGTAGTAGCAGCCGCAGCAGCCCCACTGTGCGCACATTGCCACCATCATGCTAACACAGGCGACGGCCGTTGGCAAGCAGCAACTTTGCGTAAGAGCAGCGGCATTCACAACAGCGATGATCGCAGCAATACTGGTGTGTCTACACGTAATCACACCAAGACTGTCAGGCAGAAACCATAAACCAGACGTGTGCTGAATTTGTTTGTTACTCTTGGTGATGATTGCAACTTGCACACGTAACAAGCGATTCAGCTGAACTCTAAGTCGCCTTGTGTGTCATGACAGCGGAAGGAGGCAACACGAATTTCCATGGGCAATCGGCCGAAAAGACGATGCCTCCTCCCGGAAGCGATCCTCCTCCTTGCTTGAGAAAACGGTACCTCACCTCGCTTGATTTTCGGTTTCGGGTTTAGGGTCTCGCGGTTTTCAGGTATTGCCCGACCAAACCCTAAGCCGATAAAAGAGGAGTTTACACCGCGCCAGCAGCAAACATATGACACCACATGCTGCACCCAAACGAGGCGTCATGCGGGCGCGGCTCCTCTTTCAGCAGAGGCCGGACGGATAGTCGGTGAGACGGTTTAGAGCGGACATGTCTCCTAAAACCCCCAGCCCTCGCTTTGGGCTTACAGAAGGGTTTAGAGGGTTTAGGGTTTATAATAGCCCTAACCCCCCAGATACCTACTATATAGGGTACTAGAGCCCCTAAGGCCCTATATAGTAGGTACCTGGAGGGTTAAGGGTTTATACCCTAAACCCTAGACCCTAAACCCTATCGGGGTAATTTGGGTTGACAAACGCTCCAAATAGAACCCTGAGCCCTTGAAATTCGCGACCTGCACCGATTCGTACGAGTTGCCATCCCTAAGAGCCGGTGAGCGCAACAAAATGTACCCTTAAACCCTAAACTCCTAAACTTTGGGTTTAGGGTTTAGGGTTTAGGGTTTCCCTAAACCCCTAAACCCTAAACCCTAAACCCTATAAACCCTAAAGGAACTTGAAAGCCTCATCGTTGATGCTGCACGAGTGCTCGGAAAGGCCACTGGAACTCAAGAAAAGAACTGGGGGCTCCCTATGATGATTATAGTATAATGTTTAGGTTTAGGGTTTAGGGTTTGGGGTTTAAGGTTTAGGGTTCAGGGTTTAGGGAGTATAATGGGCCCGGCTCCAAAACCCTATTCTAATTATGAAGGCCCCCATAGTACTATAGTAGTTGCAACTACTGCTAGCGTCGAGGTTTTGAGCTTAGACGTGGGATTCTTCTACTTGGATCCCTATACCCTAAACCCTAAGCCCCTAAACTCTAAACCCTAAACCTTTAAACCCTAAACCCCTAAACTCTAAGCCTCAACCCATTCGGGGCTCATGCTTGACCATGGTCAGCCATCCCGAAACCAACCTGAAAGTGTCGGTTCTACACCTAAAACCGCGGAAAACCGTGCACCCTCAAAACGTTGCCATTCAAAATCCTTAGTCTCTAACCAGAGGCCCCATTGTAGTTCCTTTTTGTGGTTTGTATTTAGGATTAGGTATATAATCCCAAAAAGGAACTACTATGGGGCCTCTGGGTAGACCCTGAAAACTCTAAATGCGATAAGCCCCAACGACGCCTCTCAAGCCGTAAAGCCTTTGGGTTTTGGGTTTAGGGTTTAGTAAGGTATAATTTTGCCAAGGTCTGGAAGGAGTGGAGTGGAGTGGTGCACACGGCAAGTCATGGCAATGTGCGGCGCTTGGCTTGTGGGGTTCAAGCTTTCAACTAGTAATCACATTATGGTCATAGGGTTTAGGGTTTGGGGGTTTAGGGTTTAGGGTTTAGGGTTTGGGGGTTTGAGGGTTTAGGGTTTGGGGGTTTAGGGTTTAGGGTTTGGGGGTTTAGGGTTTAGGGTTTGGGGGGTTTAGGGTTTAGGGTTTTAATCACAAGACTTGGGGTCATAGGGTTCACGATTTAGGCCGGGGTCCGAGGCTCTCGGCAGGGATCAGGTTGGTTGGAATTGGGTGTGTGGACATACCCATACCATCATTATATATATATATATATAAATAATAAACAGATAAATAAATAAGTAAATATATATATATATACATAACTATCTATCTCCAGTCACAGTCATATATGTATATATATACACATATAAATACATGTAGATTATGTGTGTGTAAGCATCAGTTGCGTGTGTGTGTGTGTGTATTACCGCCTCTCTCCGTGTTGTGTTTATGCACAAAATGTACCTGTACGTACACATGTGCAGCATGCATCCCGAGCTACCGAGCTAGGTAGCTAGGTAGCTAGCTAGCTAGCTGTCCACCTGCAGCATGACACCGACCTACCTGGCACCGACCTACCCACCTGGCCGACCCACCCACCGACAGTCCGACCCACTAACGACCTACTGACCTACCGACGTAACGACCTACCGACATACCGACTTGACGACCGACCGACCGACCTAACTGCCTGCATACTTGTACCTGCGCACCTGCATGATACATTGACTACAGTACTTGCGCTACATACAACAGCTACATTGCATAAACGAAATGCATTACTTATCAAGTCTCATTACTTATGACTTACAGACATTAATGTACGCATGCATACACACATGCAAGCATACAGACAGACAGACAGACAGACAGACAGACAGACAGACAGACAGACAGACAGACAGACAGACAGACAGACCGACGGACAGACAGACAGACAGACAGACAGACAGACAGACTTAACTCCTAGAACTCTATACACCCGAAGCCCTTGAACTTAAAACCCAAAGGCCGAAACATCGCTTGCAGACCCTATACCCGAAACTCTATAAACCCTAAACCCTAAACCCTTGAACTAAAAACCCTATTTCCGAAACATCCCTTGACCCTAAACCCTAAACCCTAAACCTTAAACCCTAAACACTTAAAAAACAACAAAAATCCCTTGCAGGAGATTCCGAAACTCTATAAACCCTAAACCCTAAACCCTAAACCCTATGACCCTAATATGATTACTAGCTGAAAGCTTGCAGGAGATTCTCAAGCGATCCCGGCTCCCGGAGCTGGAGGCAGGCGCCAACGAGTTCCTGATGCTTCTTGCTCGAATTTGGGATTTTGGGGGTTTAGGGTTTAGGGGTTTAAATTAGGGCTTCGTTGTTCAAATGGGGGATTAGGGGTTTAGGATTTCTGGGTTTAGGGTTTAGGGGTTTAGGGTTTAGGGTGTAGGGTTTCGGGATTAGGGTTTAGGGTTTAGGGGTTTTCTATAGTAGGGTCCCTTTCAGGGTCCTGATTATAAGGGTGCCGGATTATATTGGGGACCTAATGCGGGATCATATTTTAGAGAACTACTCGAATGGGGGATTGGGTGTTTGGGATTTCTGGGTTTAGGGCTTTAGGGGCTTCAGGGAATAAGGGTTTAGGGTTTAGGGTTAAGGAATGTTCAGGATTTTAGGTTTTTAGGGCTCTAGGGGCTTCAGGGAATAAGGGTTTGGGGTTGAGGAATGTTTAGGATTTTAGGTTTTGTTAAGGCTTTGGTGGATTAGGGTTGCGGGTTATCGGGGGGGTTGGGGTTTAGGATTTCCGGCTTTACGGCTTTAGGGTACTAGGGTTTTGGGATTCGGGTTTTGGGGCTTTGGGTCTTAAGGCTCTAGGGTTTAGGCTGTTCGGTTTAGGGCTGCAGGCGATGGCGATAAGGTTCTGAGAGTTGTTGTTGTTTAACGCTTTTTAGGGTCTTGGGTTAATCGAGGTTGCAAGGTTTCTAGGCTGTTCTGCAAGAAAGATGTGTCAGGATGTTGAGTCCGTTTTGGCGTAGAGCGACCTCATAAACCTTAAACCCTCAACTCTAAACCCTAAATCCTCAACCCTAAACCCTAAATCCTCCGCCGAGCCCGCAACAGCACCGAGAGTGGCTGAAACACGACCTCGTGACACCCGTCCACGGCATGACGTCCTTTGATGCCGAAATCCGAGGCAGCCAGCGCATACCGTTGAAGGAGCTTGAGTGCCAGCAGTAGCGGGGCTTGGGCGACAGCAGGATTATCGAGCTCTTCACGGAAATCCGTTCAGAGAGATGGAACATCACACTCTTATCTCAGCCCCAGGGCAAAGATGGCCAGATAGTTGTTTTTCTTCGTCAGGAGTTACAATCGGAGCGGATAGTGTTGTGTCAATCAGGCGTTTCAAGTCATTCTCCTGAACGGCAAGCCGAGCCTGTCGAACAGCGGCTTGCATGTTTGACCGATGGCAGTCACGCCTTGCACGCTTGGAAGAAGTTCATGGAGAGCGCCACTCCATCGCTGAAGCAGGTCCGAATGCCAAGAGCGTCATGGATGAAGGCCTAGGTGGACCTGTTGGACTTCGATACGGACGACATGGATAGCAGAATTGCGCATCAGTGCACGTGACATGAACAAGAAAGCAACCAGACCCTGTTCACCAACGAAACAACACAATGAACAAGTAGGTTTAGGGTTCAGGGTTTAGGGTTTAGGGTCACCATAAACGCTGACCGGCTACAACCCCTGCAGATTGGAGCCCGTGGAAGATGCTTGAGCTGACAGTCGTTGAAGAGGTCGGTGATGGCCACGATCACGATGATCGGCGCTAAAGTCTACTTAGAGTTAGAGGCGCTTTCACACGCGAAAGCCCGCAGTGGGCTTTACGGTGTAGGGGTTTAGGGTTCAGGGTTCTGGATGGAGGGGTTTCGGGGTTTAGGGTCAACAGGGTTCAGGGGATAGGCTTTCCCTAAACCCTAAACCCTAAACCCTAAACCCTAAACCCTATAAACCCTAAACCCGAATCGCTAAACCTTGGCCTTGCTCAGCCAAGGTTCCATGGAACAAAGCCAGAGGCCAGTGTCCGATCAGTATATACGTTACACAGCAAACCCTATAAACCCTGAGCGACGTGAGCTTGCCGTTTTCGTCCATGTTTGAGGGCTTTTTGGGGTTCGTAAAGCTCCAGTCTGGTGTTGGAAGGTTTCAGGTTTATAAGGGTTTAGGGCTCATGTTTAGGTTTCGGGTGTTGGGGTCCATCGTCCCAGCCGCCTGCAGAGCAGTACATTGACTCTAGGACTTCCAAAAGCCAATAGAGAAGCCTAAATATTTAGTGAACCCTAAACCCTAAACCCTAAACCCTAAATTTAGTGACATTATTCCGGCGTGTTTCCTAATAGTTATGTTTTAATATAGACCGCCAAAGCATTATTTCAATCATTCAGGTCCCTATACAAAGACTACTGTCGCTAAGCCTAGACCCTGAAGCTCATAGCTTGGAGCCCAGGATTTGTAGCTAAACGCTAGAACACATAGCCCTCCTCAGTTACCGTTCCTCAAAAAGGAGAGTAGAAGGCTTCTAGAACAAGGGTTGCTATAAGGCTTCAGCATAGGGCGGGGGGGTGTAGAGTTAGAATAGGGCTTTAGGTGCACATTATAGTACAATTCGAGTAGGAACCCTAGGAACAAGGTTGGTAACTACTCCGGCCGTTATAGTAAACCCTGAACCCTAATCTGCTTCTTGGCTTCTGACTGCGTTGGATGCATCAGATCTATCCTAGCATAGAACCCGGAATAATCAGCAATATCATGTTTTAGGAACCCCTAGGAACCCCTCAGTAAAACTGGAGTATAGTACATCCCACCGTATTCTCATGGTTCAGGCCCCACATTGGATCTCCGAAGCCCACATCATACTTACTTCCACCGAGCGACATGTGGACCTTCATAACCGCTTTGAGGTCTAGCCTAGGCGATTGAGAGTACTTGGTGGAGCCTGGATGTCGCGTTCAGGGTTTCGGGCCAGCCTGCGAACCAGGGCCAGCTTGCAAGCCAAGCGCAGGTTCTGCAGGCGGACAGCGACCTGGAGAGCACAACGGCCCCTGCGACCTCGTGCTGCACATGCCGCAAGGCAATAAGTGTGCACAACTCCTTGGTGATCGCGAGGGCAAATGGCAAGCAACCAGAGTTCAGGCGTTGCAAGTCGTGCCATAATACCAAAGCGGCCATACAGCGGCTCAAGGCTACGCATGGCAACTTGGTCTCCGACTTCGGCGTCGCCACGGTGGACAAGGACAAGTGCGAAGACTTTTTCACTCGGCACAACGAGCTCCGAGGGAACAAGCTCAAAGCGGCCCTCGAGGAGACCGTCTCTGACTTCAAGAAGGCAACGACGACCCACTCGTGGAGTGGGACAGGGCTCAGTCTTTGCATAGCATTGCTCCAAAGCCAATCACTCGAAGATCCTCGAAGATTCGACGGACACGATTCCCACTCCTACTGCTTGCCTTGATACTCCTGTTTTGCTCTTGGGTCTGTTTAGAATCTCAGATTGTGCGCATTTAGAAACCATGAACTTCGGCGGACACCCTGATCCTCAGAGCAATGCATATATATATATATAAGATATGATATGATATGAGATGATCTGATATGATATGATATATGATATATGATATATATATATATATACACACATGCATTTATGATATGCTATATGCATACTTTAGGGTCTAGGGTTTACCCTAAACCCTAAACATTAAAGCCAACAGCCCTAAACGCTTGTGGGCTTGGGCCCCGGAGCCTCCCCTGAACGGGCAGGCCGCCGACCTCATCGCCATGAACCACTTCGATATGAGCCTCTGACGGTTTAGGGTTTAGGGGTTTAGGGTTTAGGCTTTAGGGTTTAGGGGTTAAGGGTTTAGGGTTTAGGGATTAGGGTTTAGGGATTAGGGTTTAGGGAGTCGCGGTTAGGGCTTAGGGTTTAGGGTTTAGGGCTCCCCGCGTAAGCCTTACAAAGTTATACAGCCTGAGCCTGCCATGTGGAATTCTAAACCTCAGCCGAAGCCGACCCCGGGAACTTCGAAACTTGCAAGGGTTTGGGGTTTCGGGTTTGGGATAGAGAGCTTCGGTTTTAGGGTTTCCGGATGATGCCCGCCAAAAGATTTCACAGCCACAGCAAAAAGCCTTTCACCCTGCAGATGGCCATGGGTTCAAATATCAAACACCAATGATCGGAAAGCATATCATTGTAGGGTCCAGGAGGGGATGACTGATGTTGAAAAACTCAGCTTTTCGGTTTAGGGTTTAGGGTTTAGGGTTTAGGGTTTAGGGTTTAGGGTTTAGGGTTTAGGGACTTCGCATCGCATTCCACATGAGGAGTCCCCGAAAATTGAAAACATCTGCACTCTCAAGCCAGAGCGAGCAACATGAAACAACCCTGAAACCCTAAACCACAAGCTTGTCAACCCGGGCCCAAATCCAGAACTCCGATCATTGCTTTACTTCTGCTTTAACCCTATGAATAGGCCCTTCGTCCCAAACCTTAAACCCTAAACTCCTAAACCCCGATCCTAAACCCCTAGACCCGGTTCTTAAAAGTTGCAGATAGAGCTGTGAGGCCTATAGCCTCCATGGTAGTTCTTTTTGTGGTTCAACCAATTATATATAAAGGATCCTATATGGGTAGTTCTCTAAATTCGGGGTCCCTTTTAGGGTCCTTTTTATAAGGGTGCCGTACTATGTTGGGGACCCCAAAAGGGACCCTGATTTAGAGAACTACCCATATGGTAACCCCAAAAAGGAACTACAATGGAGACTCTAGGTCAGACCCAAAACTCCCAAACCCTAAACTTCCCAAACCCCTAAACCCCTAAACCCAAACCCCTAAACCCTAAACCCCTAAACCCCCCAAACCCCTAAACCCTTAAACCCCTAAACCCCTAAAATTGAACCCGAAGCTAAGGGCCTTCGCCTGCAAGACGGGGCTCTTTGGTGCCGGACTTTACTTTGCCGAGAACTCCTCCAAGAGCGACGAGTGACCCACCCTAAACTCTGAACCACCTAGATCGTTTGGAGTTTAAGGTTTGGGGTTTTTGGAGTTTAAGGTTTGGGGTTTAGGGTTTGGGTTGTAGGGTCTAGGGTTTGGGCTTTAGGGTTTTGGTTTCAGGGTCTAGGGTTTAGGGGAGTTTAAGGTTTGTGGTTGTAGAACCCGAAACCCTAAACCCCGAGAATTTTCTGGGGTTTCGGCGTTAAGGCTTTCAGGGTTTGGGGTTAGGTTGCAGCGAGAGCCTGGGGCTGAAAAGGATAGAATGTAAATGTCGGAATACCTGGACTTCGCAATAAGATACCTCTGAGAACCCCAAGACCCTTGTCAATCCTAAAGGGCCTTTTGAATGAACCCTCTCAAAAATCGCAAGAACCTATCAAACTCATCCTTGTAAAGGCTCTGTTCTGAGTGTTGGTGAAGGCCCGTGCATTCGGGTGCTCGGCTATCGTGGGGGTCCTGGAGATCTGTTCAATTCGAGGGTGTTTCAGAGTATAGGGTTGAGAGCTTAGGGTGTTGGATTGAGGTTTAGAGAAAACCTGAAACCCTAAACCCTAGACCGCCAGAGGCATGTAATACAGGGACCTGAAGTGAATCAGAAGAGGGTTTGGAGTATATTATACCCGTACTTATACTAAGGAGCCCTCAGAACCCTATTCTAATTATTCTAAGGCCCCTACATTATCCAGTTGATTCTGCCCAGTGACATTGCTCCTGATGATCTCTGCGAAGGGGTTCGAGCACTGCCTTAGTACCCTATCCCACGATCCGGTTTATGGTTTTGGGTTTAGGGGTTTAGGGAATTAAGGGTTTAGGGTTTAGGCGTTTAGGTTTAGCGGTACAGCCCATAGTGATGTCGCCGCATTCACGTTTCGTGTGGCTTCCTAAAAGCTCCGTTGGTGGCGACGGAGGGCAACGATTCTCATTTGTGTTGGTTGTGCCTGTGCGCTTCAGGGAAGTAACCCGAACCTTGAAACCCAGAACCCCCAACGCCGAATCTCCAAAACGATGCAAGGCGATTGCTCCTTCTGCTCAGTTGATCCTGCTGAGTTGGACATGGCATGATATTTAAGTCTCATCTACTGCTATCTGCAGTTCGAGTTTGACTTAAGGTCGCGTCATCTCTACAGCAGCTCTACATCACACGGCCTACGCACTGTGCATGACAAATCTTCCCGACTCCTCCGGTATTTTCATACCCAGGACCTGGAATTTGCAGGGTTACTATAAGTTCCCACGCGGTACAAACTCGAATTTCGATAGTAGGATCATTTTAGGGTGATAGGGTTTAGGGCTTGGTTAGGATCTGCCTAGAGCTTCATCAAGTCCGCGCCGGTATAGATTCACACAAAGGGTTTGGGATAGTTACTAGCATCAATATCGTCATTTGCAGCCGCTGGGCGGGTGAATCGCAGAGACGTGCGCCAACATCGGTGCTGGCCCCAGGTACCAGGAGCCCAAAGGGGGCTTTGGGTTTCGGCTTCAGGGTTTAAAACCCTAAAACCTAAACCCTGGACCCTAAACCCTAAACCGTGACCCTAACCCTAAACCCTAAGCCCTAGGGCTTTGTTTGAAGAGGAGGCCCGCTCTGTAAGTTGAGCTGTCAAGCTGGCTTGTCCCGTAATGGGATGGGGAGTACAGACGCAATCGGTAGCGATGACTTTCAGGCCTTCAATCCCCCGAAATCATCTAAACAGGGTTTAGGGTTTAGGGTTTAGGGTTTAGGACCGTAAACCCTAAACTTCCGAAGCCCTAAACCCTAAACTTCTTCAGCCCTACACATTTAACCACCCGAAACTATTGACACAAGGGTATTTCAGGTGTCCCTAGACCTCAAAGATGCGACATTAATAATTACAATAGGATTTAGGGTTTAGGGTCTAATTTTAGGGGCCTCAATAAGTAGAATAGGGTTTTGGGATATATGATATAGACTACAACTATAATAAGGAACCCCCCAAAATCGATGATTGAGGACAGTATTTTATGTAGTCTTTTGATGTCGCACGGGATAAGGCCAAGCCTCTCAAAGGATCCAAGTAAGGTGACCGGGTCTAGGGTTTCTTTTTCAGGGTTTAGGGTTTAGGGTTTAGGGCTCGGGGTTGAGG